AATCAATGACATAGGTGGATGCTCAGCCTCCCTTCATGATGAATTAATTTTGTGCGGACGTCAAATGCCGTCCAAAGGCTAATGAAAAATGCACCATGTCACCCCCTATCGATACCACGGCTCGGTACTACTCTTGTATTTGGATGACGTGGCTTATAATTGATTTGCCTCTGGACGGTAAGCTGTGTTTGATGCCCAACGTAAAATAATCTCTACTCATTCACAAACCCTCTCTTTTCTCTCTTGCTAGAGCACGAGTTTATCTACTCTCTCTCTCTCCTGCTCTCTTTCTCTCTCCCTCTCACTTTTATGATTGATGTACGCGCTCACTCTCTCTCCTTTGGAAACAATTAAGATTTTTTTCCGAGTATAGTTGAAAGTGACTTCAATAAATTCAGAGTAATATACGCATAAACCTCTCGCATTGCCATACACATTCGTATATCACACCTCACTTGAAGAAATTCATAGTGGTAGAACTTTGCCAAACCTGTGAATTTTATCTTTCTATTATATTTAACTTGTCTCTCTGCGTGTCTCTCTTAATCTGATTGCATTTAGTATTGTAAAAACACATTTTTTTATAATAATAAAATAATAATAAATTGGAAATCATAATATGAATTTCTCAAGTTATTTGAATCGAAAGATTGCAATGCTATTAGTAACGTATATTAACTCTAATTTATTGAAGTCACTTTCAAAACTTATACTCGGAAAAAAAATCTTAATTTTTCAAAAATATTATGTATACATCATCATAAAAGTGAGAGGGAGAGAGAAAGAGAGCAGGAGAGAGAGAGAGTAGATAAACTCGGTGGGCTCTAGCAGAGAGAAAAGAGGGTTGTGATGAGTAGAGATTATATTTACGTGGCATCAAACACAGCTTACCGTCCAGAGGCAAATCAATTATAGCCACGTCATCCAATACAGGTAGTGTACCGAGCCGTGGTATCGAGTAAGGGGTGACATGGTGCATTTTCATTAGTCTTGGACGGCATTTGGCCGCCGCACAAAATATAATTCATCATGAAGGAGGCTGAGCATCCACCTATGTCATTGATATAAAAAAAAAATTTAACATAGAACTAGGTAGACGGTTTTAATGGTTTATTATTAAACTAAATATATTGTTTAGGGCTAAATCTTATATTATTAATTCTTCTATAACAGAGTCCTCACTATAGCTCCACTAATGACATAGAATATCTTTTTTTTATTTTATTTTTTATTTAATTCAAACATGATTTAAAGGTTGATCTTATGCTAACCATATCTACTAATTTAGAGGCGGAAGAGTCCATAAATATATATTATGTTGTAGGCAATCAAAGAACTTTGGCTAAATAAAACACCGCCTTAAAATTTGTGAGAGAAGTTGCCCACTCTGTAGCATATGATGAGAACCTTTTGATCACTAAAGATGAGAGAAAAGTTGTATAATCTAAGCTCCTAAACAACGAGGGATGTATATTGTTTTGGCCTAATGAATTTTATCTCGTTGGTGTAACTACCTAAGAATATCACCCGTACTAGTAGTGTTCTTGTACGAAGCATTTAACTTCAGAGTTTTTCATAAAATTCCAATCTTTATGCCAAATAGTATCTTAATGTTTAAGAATTTAATTTCACTTTGCTAACGGGGTTCACAAAGTCTTCTACGACAACGCCCCCAAGTTCGTGAGCTACTAAAAGGGCAACCAAGCCCAAAGTTAAGCTACCATTTAAAACTTTATTATACAATATATAGGAAGAGAAATCTTAGACTAAAGTATACGCTCATAATTTTTAGCTCAAAAACTAAGGATAATGGTAACGATAAAGGCAAACCTAATCATTATCCCATGCTTCCATCATCCAAAACTTGTAAGCCAAGATTTATCCAATGAAGTTGATAGTTGTTCTCGTAGGCATTTGACACGAATAAATTATATAGTGACCAACTTTTTGTTCAAAAGTTTAGTAGAAATCGTAGATAGTCAGCACTATAGTGGATGACAAAGGCCATCAAATTGAGGCCTGGACTAAATCTAGTGAAATAAACTCTTCACGTTAGCTTTTACATCCTTTCTCCATTTTAACTTAGCATGTAAGGCTTTGTTTGTTGAGCCTTTTTTTGCCTTTCTCCGTTTGGAAACGGAGGATTTTTTTTTTTTTTGGGTTCGTCAAATCACGTTCTCAATAACTTCTTTTTTTTTTTCATTTTTGTGCAGTTTTGAAAAAGTTTATATATAGCTTCCTCCGTTAGAAAACTACATTTTTTTAAACTATATTGATATTTTTAAAACTGTCTTTACAAAAGCACCAAAAAAGACAACAAAAACAACAACAAACCCAACAACAACAACATCAAGCCTTTATCCACTACGTGGGGTCGGCTACATGAATCCTTTTTTCTTCTACATTGTGTCCTATTAAAAGCCAAATTCTTGTTTTTAAATCTAATAAAGAAAGGTCATTCCTAATATTTTCTAAACCAAGTCTTTTAGGTCTACCCCTACCTTTCTTAACACAAGTCAAATCTAATACCTCTACTCTTCCTAACCGGGTCGTCGGAAGGCCGCCTTTTTATGTGCACACAACCATCTAGGCGACTCTCTCTAATCTTTTATCTTTTCTACTGGAGCTACTCCAACCTTTTCACGTATATGCTCATTTCGTATCCTATCTCTAAGGGTAAAGCCACTCATCCATCTAAGACTCCTCATCTCTTGCCACACTTAACTTAGTATTATGCTTCTCTTTTAATGGCCAACATTCGGCACCATAAAGCATTGGCAGGCCTTACTACCATCTTATAGAATTTCCCTTAAGTTTGAGGGGTACATTTCTATCACATAAACAAGCCCGATGCATTCCGCCACTTCAACCATCCAACTTGAATTCTGCTGATATATCCCCATCTATTTCACCATTACTCTGAACAAAGATCCAAGATATCTACGTGTAATCTTATTAATGACTTGATCGCCCAAAGTCACAATCCCCTCACAGACTATTACTGCTAATTACACTCCATAATTCCGTTTTAGATCTACTCAAGCGAAAACCTTTAGACTTAAGGTTGACCTCCATAATTCAAGTTTACCTTCAACTCCCTCTCTAGTCTTAATCAACAAGAAGAATATCATCAGCAAAAAGCATACACCAAGGACATCATCTTGCAAATGTGCTCAGTGAGGAACATCCATGACTTAACGCAAAAAGATATGGGCTTAAGGCTGTCCTTGATGTAACCCAACCGAAATAGGGAAATACTTATACACACACATTGTGTTTGAACACAAGTAATAGCTCCTGCATACATTATCTTAATGATTTGCGAACTATAAGCATTATTGACTCCTTTCTTATCAAGAACTCTCCATAGCACTCTCTTTGGAACTTTATTCATATGCTTTTTCTAAATCAATAAATATCATATGTAGATCCTCCTCATTTCCTTATATTTCATCAAAAACTCTGAATAAATGTATGGCTTCCATAGTCGACCTACCACGCATGAATCCAAATTGTTTGAGAAACATTGTATCACGCCGCAACCTATGCTCTATAACTCGCTCCATAATTTTAAAGTATGACACATTAACTTAATACCTCTATAATTCGTGCAATTCTGTGGCATCGCCTTATTCTTAAAAATAGGAATTAAAACACTCATTCTCCACTCATCTGGCATCTTTTTTAGTCTTCAAAATAGTATTAAAAAGTTTAGTAAGCCAAGAAATCCCTTCATCTCCTAAGCATTTCCACACCTCTATTGGAATATCATCAGGTCGCCACAGCTTTTCCACCCTTCATTCTATTTAAAGCCTCTCTAACTTCAGTTTTACTAATACCGCCGATAAAAACAGAAATCTTTACTTTCATTTAAAGTGCTAAGGTCACTATAGTCAATCTTTATTTTTCACACTCTTCATTAAAAGTTTTAGCAAAATATCTCATCCACCTTTGTGAATATCATCTTCTAAGAAAAGTATTTTTTGATCTTCATCCTTAATACACTTCACTTGAACTAAATCCTTTTACTCTCCTATCTCTGTTTCGGCTCACTTATACATATTATCTTTCTCCCTCCTAGTATTTAATCATTATATAAATCGCTAAAACGTAATGTCTTTGCATCGCATATGCTTTTCTTAGCACTCTACTCGTAGCCACTTTATATAATTCCCAATATCAGAATTTTTAAAATTAAACCAATTTGTTATAATCAAATTCTTCTATTTTTAATCTTTTCTTGCACAATTGGATTCCCCAGACCAACTATTTTTACTATTTAGGGCTTCCCTTAGATACTCCACAGCACATCTTTTGCAATATTCTTAATATCACTAGCCACTTTTTCCCACATACATTAGCATCCTCATGCACAGACAAAATCTTAGATCTAAAATCTTACTCACAAAAATATTTTGATTAATATTCTTTTAAATGCCCCCATCTAATCCTCGAAAAATGTTTTACTTTATTTATTATTTATGCCCCTTTATCTTAAAGTCCAAACTATACAAATCGAATGTGGGGTACATAAACTTTCACTCGGAATAACATTACAAATCTTTGCAATCTAAACGGTTTAATTTTCTAATAAGAAAACAATAATAACCTATGTCGAAACGCTCCTGTAGTTACAGCGAAGAATGTATGTCAAGGGAAAACCTCGAGCATGTTAAAAAAATATTATTATAGAATAAATTTAAAATATATTAAAATTTAACAGTTCAAGTATAAAAATATTATAATTTTTTTATATTAAATAGTTATTAATTTTTTATTTTTAATTTATTATAATAATCTTTTTTTTTTCCTTTATTATAAATGAATTATCTCGTGAACTAACTCGAGCTCATAAAATTAAGCATAAATTTAAATTAGAGCTCAAATTTAATTAATTAACCAAGGTCAAGTTGGGATTTTATTCAAACTCAGTTTGATCAAATTTCCACCCCCAATCACAACAACAATAATTCTGTAAAGCGTGCTGCCAAATTCCATCGCCCCAAGGGAAAGATGCACGTGAAATCTTTCTAGTTACACAGCTCTTCTTGGCCTATCGGTTGAGAGCTAAGGCTTCCAACTAAGAGGTCTAGGATTCGAGTCTATGTGTGTATGAAATCGACTAGAAGTGACGATAGGTCCAGAATCAACTGACTAACAACGTGGCATTAACGATCAAGCATTAAGTTAATACTGATGAATTACCAAACCAAAGTATATCAATCAATTACTGTACATTATGTATTATTACACTACCCAGATCGACAACCTTTGGTGCAATATGTTTTTTATTGTCTCAAACTCTTCCTATACTTTCGTTCAGCTTCACCGACCAAACATTGCTAAAGCTACACAAATGACGAATAGACTAATTAATTATCATACAGTAAAAAAAAAAACAATAATAATTTTAATTTTTTGACATTAATTGAGGCTCTTACCTGACCATTTCTTGCTTTTAACCTCTGCACCTCCTCTTGTGAACATGCAAGCCTGCACTCACGAAGAAGAAGAGATGCTTTGTCAGAGTTTTGATATATATTCCCATAATTTTAAAATTCAATCAATCATAATAGCTAATATTTTATTTCAAGCAATTAGCGGGTTACCTCATATGCAGTTCACTCACTTCTTGTAGCAGTTCTTTCTCTCTTTCATGCGCGGCCTCCAACTAAAACACACAAGAAAACTATTTTTTCTCAATTCTTTGTATTTTTTAAATTATTTTTTTCATAATGCATAACTTTAATTTATTTATAGTTTAGGGTTTTTATCTTGAATAAATTTATTTATAAATTTTTACGTTTTGCAACATTAGGGTTAGTAGAATTATCCACCTTATCTATCCCTCATAGGGTTTGGCCTAACAATAGGCTTCTAATTTACCTGTTTCGAAAACCTATTTTGAAATATATATACACACTCACACGCACACACACATAACAACAACAACAACAATACTTTATCCCACTACGTTGGTTCAGTTACATGAATACTTTTTTATTTTATATTTTTTTTTTTTCTATCAAAACTCAAATTCTAATTTAAATCTAACAAAAAAGGTCTAATAATTTCCGACCAAGTCTCTGTAGGTCTACCTCTATCTTTCTTAACATAGGACAGATATAATACATCTGCTCTCTTAGCCGATTCATCAGAGGGCCAACGTTTTATGTGATCAAACCATCTAAGGCAACTCTTTTTAATCTTATCTACTATTGGAGCGCCTCCAATCTTTTCACGTATATACTCATTTTGCATTCTATCTCTAAGTGCAAATCCACTCATTCATATGAGCATTCTCATCTCTGCAACACTTAATTTTTTACTTCTCTTTTAATGGCCAACATTCTACGCCATAAAGTATTGTAGGTCTCTACCATCTTATAGAATTTTCTCTTAAATTTGAGGAGTACTTTTCTATCACACAACATGCGTGATGCATATATTCTAATTCATATTTTCTAAAAAGTTATGTTTTAAATAATGTTCTAATTCAACCTAAGGAGTATAATCACTAGCCACATTTATAATATCCTCATTGATAATAGAAATCATGCGATCCCCTATTCATCTAACCTTATTATAACTATTGATAAACCTTTCAAAATAAAATAAATTATGCTATTTCCATTTAGGAGCTCATTAACAAGCAATATTTATTTAATCTATTAATACAATTTTATTTTCTTCACAATATAGTCATATTTTAGACCTTGTACGTTTGATAGCATTAAACTACGATGCGTATAGCATGTATGCAAGATGTTTTAACTTGTCATAAAAAAGTGTGTAATATATTGGCTTTCCATTGTAGAGTGTACTATACATAAGAAAAATACCCTTAATGCTAAGCATTATGTTTTTGCTAAATAAATAAGCTCATGAAAACAAGTATGAATTTTGAATGTTTGTTCCTTTATAGTTGTATCCAACTCAGAATGTAGAGAAAATAATGCTACTATCAGGCTGCCAAAGAACTATGAAACAGAACTTACCAATGACTTTTCAGGTGTTGTAGTAGGTGAAGGTAAAGAGGCTCCGTCAACTGAGCGGTTAGCTGTAATCGGGAAATACTTATTGAATATATTCAAATTGAAGAAGGACATGAAAAACCCATACCTGATGGATCACCAGTACTTATCTGCTTCATGATGCTAAGAATATGATCCTGCGTATAATAATATGTTTAGGAAACCTTAGGGGAATACAACAACAACAACATCAAGTCTTTATCCCACTATGTGAGGAGGAAACCTTAGGGGAATAAAAAAAAAGATATAGCATCAACCATACCCTTTGAACAATATTACTCTGCAATATAAGCTGCAACTGTTGAAAGAATGAGTTCGCATAGCTTGGAGAAGAATCAGCCAGCGGTGAAAGGCTTTGCGGTTGAAGTTGAGAAATCACCTGCACATTCGCAATTTCACATGAATCCCTAATCCATGAACCAAAATGGAGTAAGTTGAACACCAATGAGCACATGCACATTGCCAACATCATTAACTTTGGCAGTTTCCATTAAGCATGTCTACCAATATGTTAATAATGGAAGAATCCCTCCCCCCCCACAAACAAGAATAAATTAAGAGTTCAAGATAATTGCAAGTTGAGCATAATCATCACACAATCAAAATATAATGAGTTTATTTTCTCTTATTTTCCAGGATCCTCTTTTAAGTATTTCATGGTTACAATTGCTTTGAAGCCCTAATTTGTAAAAAACCCAAATTATTGATACATAGATTACCGTTACTGCTTTAGAATCTTTTTGGAATACCCTAAGCCATTATTGTGTTTCAAAATCCTATATAATGTTTCTCACATCTAAGGTTAAGGGTTACAAGGGTAAACTCTACATGCAAGCTATTCAGAATTCCATCTGTCAAGTTCTGTGTATGAATAGATATATGGATCATTTACTTTCTTCGATATGGAATCTGTTTGAGGTATGATAACAACGATTCCTAGCATCCAAATTAGGAGAAGGCTCACTAATGACCTTCATTTCAATCGAGGATCATCCAGCCTCAAGTTATAGATTTCATGCTCAATCATGTTTCATAAATACACTACGCGCCATGGTAATAGAACATCCATCAAATGATGTCTTAGTTATCGTATTACTCTTGAAGCCATCTTAAATCTTTGAAAGATAAAGGAAATATATGGGCTTTTGACATTTGGTTGATGAAATCCTTTCCTGTTAAAAGATGGATGGCTCTTTTTTATTCCATCACAAACATTTTAGTGAAGGATTCTTTTTGTGACATTACCAAAAATATAAGATATTCATTTGATGATCCATATTCTCATACAAAGCACTTGGAGGAAAAACATGGATTTCTAATTGTTGTCTGGAAAAATCAAGTATCAGGTAAAGTCTTTTGAGTTTTTCCAGAGAGATAACAGCAGCACATGGGTTTTAAGCAACTCTATCCACCTTAAAACCTTCCTGCTCAAAGGTTCATGGCAACATTGCAAGCCTCGTTGAACTATAACAAATGTTTCGAAGATTTGTATGCAGATTAATGGACTCCCATAAAATAACATTCAACAACTGTTTTGGAGAATTGCATTCAGACCTTTGAGCTACCAAAAAATAATATATTTTGCTTACTACGGCAAGTTTGAAAATTCAATTAAGAATGACACTTAAACATGGAATCTCACCATATAGAACTTTTAACTAATTAAAATGCTTTTAGAAAAAAATAGACATGGGTATGTATACAAACAAACAAATACTATTAACATTGAACAAGGAAATAATACAAATTCTGTAGCTCATACCAATTACCACAAAAGCATCACATACCTGAATGCTATGACTCTTTTGTAGACCAATGGAAGAAGGCTGCGATCAGAAAAAAGTATGCTATCTTAGAATGCTAATATGATAATTAAAAAGAATGGTACCATGGAAAGCATCATACCTTATCAAAATCAATGCTTTCAGAGGTCACCTTGAAACGCCCTTTTTGTTGAACAACAGGAGGCTTTGACTTGTCATCAATGTCATCACCATTTGGAGCTGCAAGACCAGACTAAAATTTAATATGATAAATTACTATTAGCACTTGTTGGCTTGCTATCATGATTTCATATATTTAGCAACGGCTATGACGTGCAATAGTTCCCCATACCCATTGGTTTAGACCCTTTTGGCACAATCTCAGCAAGTGATTCATTTGCTGTCTGGGAAACCTCTCCATTGGAATTCATGTTGTTTTGCTGCTGATTTTGTTGCTTCAGGCTAGCAAAAAAAAAAGTCCATTAAAAACTAATAGGAAAAAGAAAAGCCCACAATCAGAAGATAATGTCATTACATGAAGTTTGATGGAAGATTTGTCTTTAGATTTTTAAATGCCAACATTTCAAAAGATAATTGGCGCAAAACTTGCTAAACTAACTCTATTATGTAGTTGATACTCAGCCATCTACTAGTTATTCAATTATTAATGTCGTTGACACTTCGCTTATGTGCAATATATGAGGCTTTGTGACAATCCAAATTGAGATGCTTGTCACTCTAAATTAATTGTCTTTAAGTTCCTATCATTCAAGCAAAATTGGGAATCAATAATCACATAGGAATCATATTTTTAGCCTTATGACAATTTGATGGATATGGCAGAAGCATCGCCAACTAATCTCCACAAACTCATGAGAATCAAGCATTTAGTATATGATGCTTTAGGATCTGGGGTTTTTGATGTAAATCTATTATGAGATGCAAAAATGCATGTCTATGACATTTACAAATAAAAAACTCTATATATTTTTTCAATGATTAGCTATTTTTTATTAAAGCCCTCATTACTCACGATAAAATGCAAACGAACGCCATAGAGAGAATCAGCTATTCCCTTTCTGATCATTTTTTTGGTTGGGTGCGGCATTGGTTGGGTTGAGCGAAACAGACATACATAAAACAATAGTAAAACAGCTGGAAGCTAGTCCACTGCTAAAACTAATTGCAACGTCTTTACATAGCTATGCCATTTCCAAAAAAACATAGATAGCCCAACAACATGCTTTTATATCCCGCTATATGGGACGGCTACATGAATTCTTTTTCTCCAAATAAAAAAAAAACACAGATAACCAATTAATTGATTAAGTCAGCAGAAAAAAAAAGTACCAAAACAAGCTGCTCGAAGCCCTTTTTTTCACACAAAAAAATTTATTTCCTTGCTATATATAAGAAAGACAAGCTTGTCAAGTCCTATAAAGTAATCATAATTCGGACTAAATGCAGAATACCTTGCTCCTCTGGATAATGAAGGAACATCGATTGGGCAAATCGTAAAAGTCCTTGGCTCCTCGGAACTACAAGTAGGAGAAACATTCACATTTTTTTCATCAATTTCTGAAGCGATTGAAACCCTCTTTTCACCCTCAGAGAAAACAGACCGTCCATTTAACCCTTTTTCACAATTTTTACTAGGATTATCCATCTCAGTCTTTTGGAGCTGCATTACAACTTGTTGATCGCTTGCCCCCATATTCTTCAGCTCGTTATCAGATCCATCAGATCGGTTTCTGAATAAAATAATGCCATAATCAGACGTAAAGCAAGTGAAAATCAGAAGTCACATGTAATAAGCATCTGAATCCTCAAACATAAAAAAATTAAACATGTTAGCTTACAAGGTAAGTAAGACACTTTGCTGCTGAAATTTAGACATGAATATAAACATTTGAATTACAGAAGGCTATAGCGAAAGACTCAGCAGCCCCGTGGTTGGGCCTCGGGTGCATTTGATGCTCACCCTCCAACCAAAAACAAAACGATATAATGAATTATAATTTTTCTGAATCCTGCAGCTACTGTTTTTTTCCTCTTTCGGAGTATTGTCTTTTTTTTTTTCCCGATGCTACCATAGCTAACTGTAATTTTTTTTGGCTTCTTCCCACGTTATCTTTGTAAACGTAACACTTCCTTTCTGAATGAAAAGGAGTTTCGGATCTCAATTTTTCCAAAAGAATAAAAACAGAAGGGTATAGGTGGGCCAAAAAATATTCAAAGTGGGACTACCAGGCTACCAGAAATCTTAAATCACATTTTAGGTAAATTAATCAATACTTGGCTGCTTGCAATTTAAAATAGAAAAGAAGTTACTGGAAAGTGGAAATTGATGCATACCTTTGAGAACATGATGTTTCATCTGGCGGTAAAACAGTACATGATTTGTCCTGCAACCCATCGCTTTGCTGTTGGATTTGGAAACTGTCAATATGAATTCAACATTGCAACAAATGCACATTGTTCTATTTGAAAGAAAAAGAGATATACAATGTCTGTATGTTCCTTGAATGAACAATTTCTGGAATAGGGCCTATCTGACATTCTATCTTGCAAATTGTCACACTCAAAAAAGGAATTTGAGACTCCTTGATCTTTTCCTGCATCTTCATTACATGTGATCTGATAGGGCAGAAATGAAACAAATAAATAAGGTCATACTACTTTCATGATAGAACACAAATGAAACTAATAAATGAAGTCATATAATTAATGCAAGAGGATGTAGGAGAAAGGTGCACCAATGATGCTTGGGCCTTCAAATCCTCGATATCGAAGTTCCACCCACTGATTCCTCTTTTATATTCATTCTGGATAAATAAAACAATTTGAGTTCAAAGTAACCTTGCCAACATGAATAGTAGAACGTTAAATAGGGGTAAGTACATGATCTCAGAAATTAAAGATTCTATAATTAACTATTTAAGATGATATTAGAAAATCCAATGACAAACCAAATGATTAATCAGGTAGCCTTCAAACTAAGAATAGGTAATGTCAATCAAAAGAATCATCCATTGAACTTGAAGAAGAACCGGATAGAAGGAATAAATAATTGAGTAAACAGGAAGCAGAAGTTTGATAGGAAACACTTGGATTTCTAAGTGTTTCTCACCAAAACCCACTACATCTAGGAGAAAAACTGCTGTCCACAGCAGAAAATCAGCCCAAAAAAACAGTGAAATCTGAGGGAAATAGGGAAAAATCCTTGGAAAACAATAGCAACGATTGTATTCCACTAGTAGACAAACAAAACCAAAGCAAGATACAATGTTCTTCAATTCGAGAGGAAGAACAACTCTCCAACACTCTCCGGCAACGCCCAGAGCCCAAGCAAGAAAACCTAGAAGACAAAACTCATTCAAAATCAAGATGAAACCTTAATCCCCTCATAACTCCCTATTAATACAATCTAATTCAAATTAAAAGCAAAAGGACTTCTCTACCCTTCCTTCTCCCTCCAAAAACACTTAACCCATGTTTGAATTGCAAGTGGACCCCACTCCCTGGCTCCCTCTCTCTTCCGCCCGGCTCTGTGTCCGCCGACTGTAGAACTGGACCGGCTGGGCCGGTCCAGGTTGAGCCGGTCCAAGCTGGACCGGCATAACAAAGTTCTAATGCTTAACGAGCATGCAAAAGTCTCCACTACTACCGGCAAACAATCCTGACATTCTCCAAAACAAGAGATCTAACTACTGAAGTCTCTTCACAAGTTCACATATGGCATTCAAATGCCATTGATTTTTGCTTATGCACTTAGTTTATTTTTTATCCTAATATAGCCTTCTTGATTCTTTGCGCAGTCATTTTAGTTAACAAGCCGTTCATTTGGATGGACAGAAAGTTCTTCACTTGTAGATGATACCTTCTCTAATATTAGAAACTGTCTTCATATTAGTAGAATTTCAGCTAGAGTCTATCAATATTGCAACAATAAACTCTGCTTTAAAAAAAGAAGTTAATGGCTAAAGAGAAGGGAAATAAATATTTAAAAATACAAACCTGCGAGATCTCCTCTTTCTTTCCATCAGGCATTTTCTTTTGTGCAAGCAATCTCTCTTCCTTCTCCTGCACTTGATTGCAATTATTATAGCATTAGATAGTTAACTGACCATAATGATTAGTGTAAATTATTAGTGTTTATACCTTTAGCGCTTGGTATCGATCGCCAAGTGCAGCCAAACCCTCCAAAATTTTCCGTGCAAAATAATCCTGTGATCGAGCTTGCTTGAAGAATGTATGTTTTAACAACTTATGAGCAGTAGGCCTCTTTGAAGGATCTTTAACCAAGCAGGATGCAATCATATGCTTGAAGTTCTAGGAGAAAAGGAATGACTATAAAAAATATAATTTCAACTCAACTGTATGTTGTAGAATATCAAGCAATTATACCCTTGAAAACTTCTTGTCACTTTCATAGTCAAGGCCTGGGGGTGCATTTTGCAAAGTCATCAATAGAACCTGCCAAGCAGGAATCAATTAAGAAACTAACTTAGTATCATCACCAACATAACTCATTCACCCAAGGTTAGAACTAAGAAACACATAAATGAGGCTCTTAACCAAGTTGACCCAACCTCAAGTTGAACCAACCTCAAGCATATGGGATTTGTAGAAGAATACATCTACCATGCAAGTATTACTAGCACGTCCTTCAAGATTGGGTATTATGGGTTTTCTTAAAAAATTTAATATGTGAATGCATACATATGATTAGAATACCTTCATTGGAGGGTATTTTGAGAAAGGAGCATGACCATGAGCAAGTTCCAAAGCAGTTATTCCAAAAGACCATATGTCTGCCCTGAACATCAGATGTTAAAGGCACATATTACAAATATCCTCTAATATAATTCTGAAAAAATAATCAGCAAAGCAAAGGTCAATGGTCCAACTTGAAATCATAGCCATGCAACTGTTCCATCACCTCAGGTGCCATCCTAGTAACAGAAGAATTTGACTCAGCAACTAAGCATAGCAACTTTAACATATAGCATATAATGGCTCTAAAGTTCTGAACACGAACCAGCAGGGTGTCCCAACAAATGTATTTCTTGAACGTTGCCTATCACCTGAATCAAAAAGGCAAGCAGAAACCCCAAAATCTCCAAGTTTAATTCCACCTTTAACATCAACTAGGATGTTGCCAGCCTAAACAATAGCATCAGAATTACAACAATCATTATGTCATCTAACAAGGAGGGAATAATCGAGTTAAATGTATTTGTTGGCTCTCAACTAAAATAAATATAGCAATCTAGGTGCTTTTTTGATATTAGCATTCACATACCATCATCAACACACAAGTAAACCATAATAGTTAAAGGGCCATAAATACATAATAATAGAGGCAATTGGCTATTTTCTATCATAATTCAAAAATAAATCATGATGACTTCTTCTGATCAAAGCAATTGGATAGTTATAATGGTTTACCAATAGCCCCTTAATAAGCTTCTGGTTAGCTGAACTCATACTTCATATCGGAACCACCCATTCATATGACAAGCATTGAAAGTGTATTATAGAATAAGAAAGCCAATTACAAGGAATTCGAGCAGATGAACTTACTTTCACATCACGATGGATATGGCCATGATGATGAAGATAATCCAATCCTTTCAGCGCCTCCTTCAAAATCGTGGCAATAATCGATTCCTCGAAACCATCGGGAAATGCTGACTTCATGATATGGAGGCAGGACCCTCCTGCCATGTACGGCATGACTACCCACAAGGTGTGGTCCTTCACGAAGGAGCAGTGCGCGTTCAGGACATTGGGGTGGTCTATCAAAATCATTGTCTGTGCCTCCCGCGAGATGTTGCTCTGCACCCAATCAAAAAGGACAATACCTTAATATCTTTCGCATTGCCAAAATTAAAAAAACAATGAAAACCGACATAATGGATCGATTCGATTCAACTTTTTCAACCGAATCAAAGGGGAGAAACGAAAGAGAAAGGAAAAGTAGAGTTCAACGACGCGAGAACCAGATCGCTTCCGTGGCGCTCAAAGTCAAGAATCTTGATAGCCACGATCTCGTTGAGAGGAACACATAAGGCCCGCTGCACGACGGCGCTTGCCCCCTGTCCAACCATCTCGTAAAGCTCGTACTCCTCCGCGCGGATCGGATACTTCTTCCGCTCCATGGCTGCTTTTACTAACTCGTCAGTCAGATAAACCCTAGAAGAAGATGAAAAAGAAGGAGAAGAAGAAGAAGAAGACGAAGAGCAATTGTAGGAGGGAATACGAATCGGGATAGAAATGGGACTATGGGAGGCATTAATGGAAGAAGCGAGGATGACGAGGAGAAAGCAGGTCTCTCCACCTTTTCTCGTGAGGAGAGAGGGGGAGGCGAGAGAGCGACCGCAGCTTGCGGGGCGAGTTCTATGGCCAGAGCTGGCATTTGTATCCGAAAAGCGCGCTATATGGAAAGCACGAAGCGAGCCAGGAAGAAGCTCTCACCGCGCGCGCGCGCGCGACGGCAAGAATTCTCGTCTATTACATTTTAATATTATATTTATTTGAAAAAATAAATATGATATTATTCAATTTTTCATCCATAATAATAAATGTTGCATCCTGGAATATTGCGGCGGTAGAAAAATATATAGTTTAACGTATTAGCATTATACGAAGATCCAGCACACAAGCAGATAAGAGATAGAGAGTGTATCGTTTATAAGAGACACCAGAGTTTTTACATGGAAACTCCTAAAATGGGTGAAAAATCACCAGGCCTGGCCCAATTTGAATGAATCCACTAGTATTTACAGTCGATTACAAATGAGGCACTTCCTTAGGAGAAGGCCTTGGCTTGATGTCACAAATGTACATCATATAGAGAGCATTACATGGTGGGAGTTACAATAATCAACATAGATGTGTTTGGTTGGAAGGACAATACTCGGCATGAGACAAGGGTCCGAAAGACCGTAGTTAGCAGAAGATTGGGGTAATAAAGATCATTATCTGTTGATGAAGGTCGGAAGGATCATAGTTGGCATGAGATAGGGGTCTTAAAGATCGTGGTAGAAAGGAATTACTATGGGAGAACTATGGGCGTCAAGTGGTGGCCCGGAAGAAGTCTGTGAGTCAGGTGGTGGCCTAGTGGAGCTCAGGGCCTCAAATGGTGGTCCAGTAGAAGTTCGTGTGTCAGGTGATGGCCTAGTGGAGCATAGGGCCTCAAGTGGTGATCCGACAGAAGTCCGGGCCTCATGTGGTGGCATGGTGGAGCACAGGGCCTCAAGTGATGGTCTGGCAGAAGTCCGGGCCTCAGGTGGTGGTCTGGCATAAGTCCAGGTGTCAGGTGGTGGCCTGCTGGAGGAGCACAAGGCTTCAAGAAGTAGTGGTCCGACGAAAGTTCAGGCCTCAGGTGGTGGTCCGGCGTAAGTCCAGGTGTCATGTGGTGGCCTAGTGGAGCATAGGGCCTCAAGTGGTGGTCCGGCGAAAGTTTTGGCCTTAGGTGGTGGTCCGACATAAGTTCAGTCATCAGGTGGTGGCCTTGTGGAGCACAGAGCCTGAAGTGGTGGTCCGGCGGAAGTCCGAGCCTCAAGTGGTGGTCCGGCATAAGTCCAGACGTCAGGTGGTGGCCTGGTGGAGCACAGGGCCTCAAGTGATGGTTCGGTGAAGGTGAGGGCCTCAGGTGATGGTCCGACGGAGCAACAACGTCAGGAAGTGGTTCAGCGAAGCAACGACGTCAGGCGGTGGTTCGACGGAACTCAGGCGGTGGTCGAGGAGGAGCTTCTTCCTTCTCTTCCTTCTTGCTTGGATCCCCTTTAAATAGAAATGAGAGTCTATTTATAGATTTATGGAGTGGCATGACCCGTAAATAGGTGAGAGATCAAGGGTAAATGGGGAGTGGTTGGATGGACGGCCGATGTTGAATCCCTTGATCATGGACCATTTGATGACATTTGAATGCCTTAGTGATGTCAGAATTTGATGATCTTGGGCTCGTTGGATTTGTCTAGTCGATCCGCTCGATTAAAATATAAGCACGTCATGTTTGGAAACTGTTTGGAAATACAAATTGTGGTTTGAACCCTCCAACAGTGCTTCAGTCCCTTATTTTGGACCCATTTGAACTCTGATTGAGTCAAATTTTTTGGCGTTGGGTTTGTATTTCCGAGACGCTCAGTTTGACTATAAGTTTGCTAAAATCGGAGTTTAGATGGTCCCAATTTTAATTTCGGAAGTTTCCAACTTGATTTTGCATCGAGATTCGTGCCCAATAAAGATAATTTTTTGATGACGTATCAATAAAAATGAAAAAAAAAAAATAGATGAGAATATTTGATAAAATTTAATCAAAATTAATTTTAATAGTTTTATTTTTATTTAAATAATATAATTTATATAATTATGATTTATAGATAAATTAAAAAATAATTAAGATATTCTTATGACATGTATGATAAAACAATACAAATTTACATAATAAATGCAAAAAATTCAATACTTGATAATTAAAAAATATATATTAATAAGATTTGGGTCAAATATCTTAAACTATTTAATTTTCTCATAATTATATATATATGAGGAATACTCTATAGATAGTTAGCAACAACGGCGGATTTAGGGGGGGGCCTGCGGGGGCACGTGCCCCCCCCCCCCCCCCCCCCGGGAAAAA